CTCCGTCCTTGTGTCAGACTGGACACGTGTCCTGCTGGATATGACGGAGAACGAAGAGGTCCCTGTCCTCAGAGAGTTCACGGACCAGTAGAGGAGACTAACTATAGACGGAGGAACTCAGAAAACACTTACAGATTGTTGTCAGTGTTTAAAGGCGGTGAACAGAGTTCCATGGCGGGGAATAACAGAAGGTCTTGATTGTGGACAGCGTGTGTGGCAAAAGGATGAGATTAAGCTGAGGCCTGAAAGATGAGTTCTAGCGACCTACAGATGACTGAAGCGACTGTGACACAACTGAATACGAGAGGGACCTCCTGTGCTTGGGAGGAAGAACTCTGGATTTCATTCTTGGTACGAGAAGCCATCGAAGATTTTAAGCAGGTTGCAACGAGGTCCGAATTGAATTTCGCTTTGTTTTGTTTGAAACAAGGTCTCACTATGTCGCCTGGGCTGGCCTTGAACTCACAGCGATCCTCCTGCCTCAGCCTCCCGAGTGCTGGGATGACAGGCGTGCGCCACCACGCCCGGCCTGGCTTCTGACTCGAATTTTAGGGTGCCCTGGCTGCTAAGTGAAGAAGGGATTAGGGGACATGCGAAGGGCTCAAAAGACTGACCAGGAACCCCTTTCCGTGGAGCACATGAAAGAGAACAGTGGGTAGAACTTGAACGGGACAGGAGAGATGGATGGAGGGGAGTCGATGGATTCAAGATATTCTTTGAAACTAGGATTTATGGGAATTCCTGATGGCACCGGGGGAACCAGGAATGGCGGCCGACTCCTGACCGGAAGGAATGGTTCAGGTTTGTGGGTGTGGCCTGCTTTTCCCTAGTTGTCCCCTTTCTTCCCATTTCGTTTGTTTTGTCTCTTGAGATAGGGTCTCCCTCTATACTTCAGGCTGGCCTTGAACTCACTGTGTAGCCCAGGCTGGCCTCAGACTCTGCCTCTCGATTGTCCTGCCTCAGCCTCCTAAGTGCTGGGATTACAGGTGTGCGTCACCATGCGGAGCAGTCCCTCTCTTCCTTAAAGATCCTGAAACAAATCCATAGAAGCCCAGATCGTGAGAAGCCCCACCATTTTAAAGCCACTGGGTTAGAGACTCTCCAGAGTTCCTTCCAGTTATAAAAATGCTTTTGTTCTGTACTGAAAAGTCTGTGGGTAGGGACAAAGGCTCTGTTCCTTCTGACTCATCCTGTAGTACCTGGTAGAGCCGTGTAGCGGAGAGCACTCAGTAAGTGCCAGTTGACTTTTCACTTTGGCACAGATCTTCTGTAATTGAATTTTAGATTAAATTCCTTTTATAAAAATGGGATTCTAACGTAGAGTAAACTTTCATTTGAAATCAATTCACCTTGATCAAGTAGAGCCACAGCAAGGATAATCTAAAATTATAAAATCCAAAGTAATTTCTATTTGAGTGGAGGCAGAAGAAAACTTTTGTTTTTGCTAAGCCAATTATCTACATTTAGGTAAATGTTATTTTTTTGAGTAAATGCTAACAGGTGACAAATCAGTCCTAGTCGGAGTAGGACCAAAGAAGCCCCACTGAAAGTAATTCATAATAATGAATACAGTCTACTCTTGGTGATAGAGTCTGTTAGAAACAAATACTAATCTCTTAAAATTTATTTTGAAGTAATGACTTCAGGTAATTTTTAGGCCCATTTTAGACTCATTTAGACCCATTCAGGTAATTTTAGACCCACTTTAAAGATACATGAGCCAGGTGTAGTGGAATATACCTGTAATCCCAGCACTTGGGAGGCTGAGGCAGGAGGACTGTCACCAGCCTGGGTTACATAGTGAATTCAAGACCAGCCTGAACTACATATCAGTACCCTGTCTCAAACCACTCCAATAAAAAAAAAAAAGAACCATGATCATTGATTGACCAAGGAAAGCACCTGATAAAGAAAGAGCCTCCTAAAGCGCCCACGAGGAAACGAGGGTTTGTGCTTATCTCCCAGTCAGCCCTGCCTGCCTACACCTCCCCTTCAGCTTCAAAAGAGGCTTTGCTTTAAACTTTATTGCTGTTAGCAGCAAACACCCCACACCTGCCTTTGCTTACAGGACTAGAGAGTGGAGCCGAAGATCCTCCTTGGCAGAATAAATAAATACCAGACATCTCAGGGTCTTTGGGGATGGATCCCTTGCCCAGATCCGGCTCATGATGGCCAGTGAACACTTTTGTCATTTGTGTTGTGGGTTAAGAAAATGCGTTCTGCCTGTCACAGCGTCACAAGGAGCAGCGATTTGAATCCGTGCCGTTGTAAGCTTGATTGTTGTTGCATAGATAAAAGCCTCATTAAGTCCCTCATGAGGAGAAAAGAATCTTATTTTGAGGAGAGAGGGGCGAGGAGGGCTTCTTGCTTGTTGTGGTTATAACAACAAAACATTAAATGGAGGAAATAATTAAATAACTGCGATTTTTTTTTTCTGGCCCAAACCTCGTCAAGAGGCTGCGTAAGTTTTTAATTAGTGCTGCATTTTCAATAAATCCGTATCTGTACATGGTGCTGATTCTTTCCTGGATAAGGGAAAGATAATAATGAGACAATCCTATTTTTCAGTCCCTCACTAAAGGGATGCCTGGTATATTTAATCATGCTGTAGAAATCCTGGCAGCTTTCTCTGAGCCCGGCCTCTGCTCTAATTACATTTCTAGATTTTAGTAAATTGAAAGGGAAAATGTAGGAACAAAATAATTAAAACCGAAGAGGAAGTGCATATTAAAAAGGAGAAGCTGTTTAAAATTCTTCCACATGGAGTTCCAAGGACATGTACAACCATTTAATCAGACCCACGCCAAATCAAAGTCCTTTGTACGGAGACTGCTAGGGTCACATCTCAGGTGGGCAGCCGGTCCCTGCAGGAGGAGGGAGACGTAGGGTGCACAGGGACATGGGACCTCCCTGCCCTTTCAGACCGCTGGGGATTCAGGCCCAGCCTTCACCAGCTGCTGGCCCAGATTTCCCTGACCCGAAGAGTCCCCTCCCGGAGCCTGGGCAGAGTCTGGCTAACATGAGAGGGTTAAGCCTCCGTGGGGAGGAAGCTAAAGGCCCTGCCTGTAGTTCCCTCCTTCTGCACCCCGCTTCCTGTCCCCTCTCCCTGAGGACTTTCTTCTTTCTCTGCCTTTCTGTGAAATCTAAGGGGAAGAGGACAGGTCACTGAACAGGCTCAAGGAGACCAGGAGCCGACTGCTTAGAAGTGGTCACTGGCGCGCCTCTGAGGCGTTCAGAATTCCTACAAGAACCCAAAACCTCGCTGGCTTCAGCTAAATGAGTGAATGTTTGCAGTGAATGATAAAAAAAGTCCGACCTGACGGTTTCATGCATCGGCCTAACAGGTGACCAAAGTTTCTTTTTGTTTGGAAGTGGCAGCAGGGGCACTATCATCGTAGAATTTAGGGTTTCCATTTTTAAAAAGTATCATTTGGGCTGAAACATGGGTTGTGCAAGAGCTAGGAGTTGGGAGTGTTTTGTCTTTGAGTTCTAGAACGTTTTAAGCCAAGGGATTCCTGGCATCGTCAGGGGTTTCTCTCCAAAGCCTGGTGGCTTTACCTGTGGCTGCCAGCCTTCCCTGCTGAACAGGCTCACCAGCCACCTGGCACCAGGACACATGTGGCAGGGGACGGGGAGCACTGTCTCCTGGAGATGGTCCCACAGGCCTGGCAAGCACAGGTTCCTGGAAGCTGTTCCCAAGGCAGGGCCCACATGCTTACCCCACAGCCCTAGTGCTCATCACCGGGCTGTTCTCTTGCGTCCAATGCCCCGTGCACAGGTAGTATGTGACACTGCCTCAGGTGGGGAAAAGCCTTAATTTTGTTTTTCATTTAGGAATAATTTTTAAAAGTTTAAGCTAAAGGAAAGAATCATACCAACAACAAATATTCCGTCACTGATATTATTACTCCAACACAGAGACAACTTTTTTTTTCTTTTTCCCATTCAGGGCCAAGCTGTTTTGAGACTTTTACTCAACACAGGAGTCTCTTATGACCCAGGGGGGCTAAAATTCTACGTAAACTGGGGATCCAGGTGTCCAAGACAACAAATCAACACCGAATCAGCTTCCTTTTGGTTAGGCAACCTATACACTTTACCTTCTCTGGAAAGAATGGGTTTTGTTTCCACATGCTAAATTTAATTTTTTTTTCCAAATGCTAATTTTTATTTATTAATTTATGTTGTTGTTGGATTTTTGAGACAGGGTCTCACTATGTGGTTGAGACTGACCTGGAACTCACTAGGGAGCCCAGGCTAGTCTCGAATTCACAGCGATCCTCCTGCCTCAGCCTCCTGACAAACGCCAATTTTAAAATGGTACTTTAAAGAGTATCTAGCATTAGAGAGTATAAAAAAAAATTTTTTTTTGACAGGTCAGGTTGGCTTTGAATGTAATCTAGGCTGGCCTCGAACTCGTGGCTATCCTACTTTGGCCTCTTGAATGCTGGGATTCTAAGAGTGTACTACCACGTCTGGCTAAATTAAAAAAATATTTTAACTGACAGGATTTTTTAAAAAGGGTATGCGTGTAAAAGGCGTTAGTAATCTATAAACTGCTCGCAAACATAAACTCCTTCTACAAAACGTCTTTATTATTCTGCCGCCCACCTTGACCCTCGACTTGGTGCCTCTGTTGGGTCCTCGCACCTCGGCGCAGGCTCCCGAGGCCTGCACGCGACCCCCTCCGAGTTCCCGCCTCTTTCTCTCAGGCCCCTCCCTCCCCTCA